CACTGCACATGTGATCTCGTCGCTCTTTACCCCTCGTTAGTTTCCGCATACGATGGCCCCCGCGGATTGAATTCCTTGCTCCAACCACGCAGCCGAAATAATGAAGTCGCGCAAAACGCCATTTATAATACGAATGCGCGATGTCGCGCGATGTAGAAACAGGCAGCTGTGAAACAATGCGACAGCTTCACGACAAAGGCGGGACAATGCTCGAAAGCCGCGCGATAATGAGGCTCATAAGCCATTAAACACGCAAAACTGCCGATTAAATGTGTCCACCCTGGAATGCAAATTTTATCGTCTGCGGCAGTTGTGTATGATATAATTACACGCGCGAATTGATAAATTTATAATGAGGAGGCCGTGACGCCCGCGCAGTCACGGCTTACAGCGAGATGTTTTTATACGCGCCCATTAAATGCGCGACGTCGAGCGATCTACATTTTAATTAACCGAACCTGCAGCCTCGCGTGACTACTAGCCGCAAACGAAAGATCGACCAACTGCAATTTCCGATTTATCACACTTTTACGCAGAGCCGCGCAATACACGCATGCTCCCTCTCTCTCTCTCTCTCTCTCTCTCTCTCTCTCTCTCTCTCTCTCTCTCTCTCTCTTTCTCTCTCTCTCTCTCTCTCTCTCTCTCTCTCTGTCGCATTCCCCGTATTCAACAGTTGTAGTCGTTACGGGAAGACCGTCCCAACTCTGAAGTCCGCCTCCGAGGAGAGAAATAAGTCTGAAAGAGAGGAAGAATTGTTCTTCCTCTTGAGAGATACGTTTGAAGAGAAACAACTGTACTTCCCCCCCACTGCTATTGACGCATCTCGGATATACAGTAGAGTAACTTCGAATAAGAGACGGTAGCTCGATAGCTCCCTATATATGTACCTTATCGCGAGTTCAGGGATTTGAAACAACCTCTCCTCTCGACGGGGGCTAAACCGGACGCATTACTTTTCGATCCAATTTAGCTCGAGTCGTGATAACAGAGTTCCGACACCGAGACACTCGTCGCTTACTTTTTAGCTTATGTTTCAACCGCGTAGAGTTTTAGCGTGTATTCAGAGGACGGCGAAATTCAGGATACAAGCGAGAGAGAGAGAGAGAGAGAGAGAGAAACTAAACATACGCGGCGCGTATATTTATTTTAACAAAATTATCATCACATCTCCCATGCGACCCATTTTCTCCTTCGTATTCGTAATCGCACGCACGGCGTCGTAATTTCGGCACGATTAATCACGATTGCCATATGACATTTGCCTTCCTACAAAGAAGGTCGAATGAAAGCGGCGTAATCTGACTTAAGGCTGCAGTATACCCGCATTTTTGTCCTTCTGCCGGCTTAACCCCTTCCCGCGTCGTCCCCGGTGGGATTAAAGATACCGAGAATGCGGAACCGCGGCGGCGAGGGAGGAAGCGCGAAGGGGCCACAAGGTTGGGAGAAGTTTAATCCCTCGACTGTAATTACGCTGTATTCCGAGGCTAAAAATATTTCGAACCCCGGGCAAGAGATAGACGGGCGGAACGTAAGGGACGGTCAATTAAGCGCGGCGACTTTGTACCTTCGACTGGATTTGCCACGTGATTTTCGTTCTCTCAGCATTCATCGTTGTTCGGCCGCGAGAGGAAGAGAGGCAGAGAGAGAGAGAGAGAGAGAGAGAGAGAAAATGGCGAACGCTCGGGCAAGTAAGCGGAATCTCGACTGTTTGCGCGCTCATTTTAATCCGCTAAATCCGACAGCTTGCAAAATTTAAGCGTGTGTCGCGCGGCATTATGTAAAATTAATGATATGTAACCTATATAAGTTATATAAGCGGCAGAAGCTCGGATTTGAAATATTTTTAATATCCATGAAATATCATTAGCGTTAACGAATAAAATATCCGAAATTACACAACACGTTTCTTGTGCGGTCGATCCGCTGTCCTTTCCCCGAAGGAAAAGCGCAGAACGTGCGTTACTTCATCAGACGCAAACGTCTGACCAGTTAATCAATTAATCGATAGTTGATATTATTCGACGTGCATTTGCACATTGCGTGCGCAATGATGCTCATCTTTCTTTGATTCTAATCTATCGGCTGCCGTCGAGCTGAAAAACATCGGAGAAATCGATAATCATTGGTCTGCTTTTTCCGCGATCTGTCGCAAAGAAGTTCCGCAGTCTCGTCGTTCGGCGGCCTCGGCGTAAATACAATTAAACTGTAATTATTAACGTCAGCGCGGAATACAGCAGATCGCCGGCATTGTTGCAAAATTATATTCGAGCGAATATTACGTCAGACGGCGCGGCGGGCGGAGTTTTCGCATGCGGGGCTCTTTAACCAAAACCAATTACTGAGACGGGCAGATTTAATTTTCCGCCGGCGATAAAATTAATTCAATACCATGTTCATATATATATATATATATATATCTGCAGCGTATGGGATTGGCACAATGAATTTCATGCTGGCAGGGACCAATTAGCGATACGCGACCGCGCTACACAGGCGTTAAGGCGCATTGATAATGGAAGTGAAGGATTAATCCCTTCGGTAGATGGATGAGGGAAGTAGCAGCCTGTTGTGTCTGCGTTATCACGACCGTGAAACCTTTTTCTCGAAAATTATTATATCTCGCCTGAATGTCTCGTGTAATATTAACAAGAGTAGCAACATCTAATCTCCGTAATCTCTGCTCGTCGGGGGAGGGGGGGGGGCGGCGAGAACCTGCCGTGTGCGATTTTCACCTTCGATATCCGTAAACTTTCGTAAGACTTATTTATACGCGCGTAATAAGCACGTCTTACTGCTCGTGCTACATTTGAACCTCTTTCTTTCTTTCTTCCTTCCTGTCAGAGCCGCGTAACGTTTGCAGATGCGCAGTAATAACGGACCGAGAAGAGAGCGACGGATATTCGAATAATAACGCCTTCGTGAGACATCAAGTTTCGAAAGTACACAAGGCGTGAGGCAGGTGCCGTCGATTAAACGCGCACCGTGCTCGAGTGTGTACGGCGCAATGTTGCGTATCGCAGCGCGCAGTGTCAAAAGTTCCATCGGTAAGCTTGTAAATGAAAACGCGCGTGGAAAAAAGGATCCTGCGGCAGCTGGATAATGGCCAAGGACCTCGTTTCTGGCGGTAACGCGGTTATCATCGGAAGTATCGGCTGGAAATATTAAAGCCACTATTAGTCATTGTAAGCGTCGGTGCGTCATTCGGCTTGCTGAACCGTAACTGTCACTTTCCCGTCGCCGATAGCAGTCATTCGCGAAAAGGAAATTGACCAGAGAATTGTTTCGTTGGGCCTCTATGCGTCCTAGCATCTGCACGCTGCGGCGAAAGATCTGTCGATAATATGTCCTTTTGTATTATCCTACTCCTTGCTCTCTGCGATTTATACTACAATCTGTATTCTGTGTCAAGTGAGAAGCATTTAAAACTGCTTCACTTTTATTGAAAGCCAGAGATCACACTCGACGTTGCCTCGGGAAAAATCGTTAGCCGCCTTGGGAGAGGGCATCTTTTTCTTTTCTCGCTTTTAAATAGATTCTCCCTCCATTTTATATATTACGCGAGTTAAATTCGCTTCCCTTCTTATTATATCGATTACCTGAGGCCTGAGAGAACGGATAAAACATCGTTCGTGTGTAATCGTGGTTCAATGGAACCGAAAATAATCACGCGAAGTTCAAAGGCAACTAAAGGCGCCGGAGAACGGAGAGAGCGAAGCCAATAAGAAACAAATCAAGACAAAAACGAAACTTAAGGGGCCGCGGGAAGTCTTACGATAAATCGCGGTAGGGGGAAAAAGAACTTACCAACGCGAGAAAAGAGGCTGTGGGGAGGGAGCGAATTGTTCCGGACAGGAAATCGATGTATCGGTATTTTCTTTCGCTCGCTTCAATATCTATTCAGAGCTTTTTTCTGAAACCTCCGTGAAAGGTGACGCCACACTCGAGTGAAAGTCTAACGGACGTCGGCGAGCGAGAGCTAAATCAAATTGTAAATTTCGTAGAATCGCATTAAAATTTAATGCGATTAAATCGCGCTTATCAGCTGCGTGTTGCATGACGATTAAACAAATTTTCATTGTATCCTACAACGTGGATTAATCGAATAATCATTATGATATTTATAGAATTCTACCGCCCTCTCGCTGCATAATTAAATAAATATATGTCTATTGTAATGTTACTTTTATAATTGTATCGTCGACGCATTATTAATTATTGCGTTTAATTATCTACATTCAAGAATCATAAATTCGAAGTTATAACAATCTTGTCTGTGTCTTTGACGACACAATGTCTTCGTTAATTCTCATTTAGTCGCGTGACAATCGGATACTCCCCCGCCCACCTGACCGACCGTCATAATCAAACTAAATACCCAACGCAGACCCAATATCACGGCCAATATCAATGACGACATTTATCTTCTCTGAAACACTCCGCGACTAGACTGCTCTTCCGAGGGTCACTCGATCGAAGGAAAGCTGCCGGCGCTGCCATTGTCGTTGCCTTTTCAAGCTCGCCGTCGCGTCGTTTTACTGTATGCAATAAAGTCGGTTATAAAACAGGATATTGCGAAAAAAAAAAAAACTCATCCGGCCAAGTGGCCGGCGGATAATTGAATTGAGCTGGCTTCCGCAACGAAAAAAGAAAAAATTGGGCGATCCGCAAAGCGACAGGACGCATTAGAAGATGAGAGTTCCAACGCGCGCTCCAAGGTTTAACAAATATTTGCGCATTATTTGCGGAAAAATGAATCGTAAAAATGTCTGATATAACCGATGAAACGCCCATTTCGATGCGACTCGCGCGCGCGCGCGCGTCTTCGTGTTATCAATTTAAAAAACTATTCAATCGCTTCAAACTTTTCGCATCAATCGAAGGTCTTGAATATCCGGAGAATCGTTTCTCTTACAATCCTCGTCCTTTCCTTATCGCCATAATATTATAAACATAATATTATAAACAACACAGAAATAAATATTTTGCTTCATCACGTCTAGACGCAATATGGAGGACCGATCTGGACTGGGTGGTGATCCATCGCGATCGTCTGGTGCTGTTGAGCTTCATGAACCCGATCGGCAACCTAAGCACCTTGAGTGGCACGATAACTCCGCAGCCCTTCGTAACCTTAACCCCGGACGAAGCCGGCTTTAACGAGGACCTCGATGAGCTCGCCACCCCGACGTCCGGTCTAACGAATATCGCGCTTCCCGACGCGGTCGAGACTCGAGCCGCCGGCGAGACGACCACGATGTTCTCGATGATCATCCAACCGATCGCCACCAAGCCAACTGGCGCTGCCAGCTCCGCAACGACTACCGGCAAGACAGCCACGACGGCGAGCACAACGAGTACCTTCGAGGCAACTTCGACGGCCCAACCGAAGACGACGGTGTTGCCGAAAGGCAGCACCGCCAGACGGCCGACCATGAGAACCATCGTCAGGAACGGCAGTTCGAAGGGCAGGTCAAAGGCGAAGAATCTCACGAGGGTATCCACCACGCCGAGGCCTGCCAGAGCGGCCGGTGGGAACATGACTGCGCAGAATATGCCGCTGACGATGAACAGTCTGGCGGATCTCGATCATCCCGAGAATCTGAATCTGGAACTGCAGACAGGTAAGCTTGACTTCGTCAAGCTGCACGCTGGATCTCCAAGTATTCGTCCCCCCCCCCCGCCCTCCCCGAAGACTCGAATTCGGCGAGGCGGTTTCAGGTTGAAAATTAAACACAATACATGCGTAAACGCGCGAAAACGATAGAAATACAATTACCAAAAATGAGCCGAAAGCGCTCTTTGTTCCGGCGCGATGACCGTATGAAATATTCGCAAAACGATAAGTTGGGGGCGAGGGGGGGGGGGAATATTAGCGAACATTTTGCATGGCATTTTTTGTCAATCGTTCGTTTTCTCGCCGCGTTCGTTTAATTCGCCCGGCTCTCTATCGCGTGGCACAGTCGACGAATAAATATCGCGAAAATATCCGCTTGCTGAAAACGGGATTATTTACGCAGCCGTGCGCGCTTCGTTTTTCAGCCGAATCATACGGCCCGATTACTCTGGAATATCTGAATTACGCCGTCGCGCTCGGCGTATACTCGGTAAGATATCCCGCCGTCTTCTGGTCGTGCAACAAAGCATTGGGCACAATCTTCAGTCTGCAGTTGGTCGTAAATTCAGCGCAAAGTCTGCTGGCTTACGCCGGAATGTCTGTCCTTTACAAGGTAAGCAACGCAAAGTATTCGACGCCGGTTAAAACTCGCGAGGAACTTCTCGCCGTCGCTGACGTCTCAGTCAAGTCTTGTAGACTTGCGGCCACCGTCAGCAACTTGATACAACAATAACGAAGAATCCGAGAAACGTAAGAATTCTTACGGGAAGTATACACCGCGACATCCGATTTCGCGTTTTGCACGATCGCGGTTGATCGTCACGACGGCGAGAGAAAATCGTTCTCGAAATCGACGCGATCGTACAAATTTTCCGAGCGTCGCATGAACATGAAATATTACAACTTGCTTTCTGTTACAATGACGCTGCTCTGAAAAAGTGATCTATAATTATATATAATTATCGTTCCGTGTGTATATATATATATATATATATATATATATATATAAGATATAAGATATATATAAATTAAAATTGCCGTTTGCACACGTCATTAGAGGAAACAATCGCACACACCCCGCAGAGTCTCTTTGTTTCCTTCTTATTTGTTCTTCTACTCGGCGGCCGCATATTTTTTTTACGAAACATGCATTCGTTTTTTTCAGGTGCAAGTTGTAGGACCCTTGAAAGTCCTGCCGCTCCTGCGTCACCGTACCGTAGCGACCAGCAGTACGATTTCAACGATATTCGGAGACTCCTACTTTCTGCTGAATCCCCACGTAACTCTCGTGCTCTTCGCCCTCTCGTCCCTCCTCGTGCTCTGCTCCAGCATGGTCATGTACTTCTACGCTCATGGCAGGTAAATATTTAGCGTGTTATGCGCAGCGGAGTTTATTCAGCTCCGTACGTAATCGATTAGAACTCCGGCCCGCCGACTCTTTTTGTTGCGAACGAAAATTATCTGGCCCATCCGCTGCTATCAAATAACGGCGAACAAGCGTGTTTTGCTTCGTCGAAAGAGAGTTATACGCGGATTATCACGCGAGAGCGTTACACCGCGAGTCCGCTTATCGGCGAATCTCTTTCCTACGAAACGATCTTAATGCCTTGTTACAAAACGCCGGGACGTTATAATTATTTACCGCGGTTAAAGCTTAAGGCTCCTCCTCGAGACCTCTTTCGAGACCCGGCGGGAGGCTCTCGTCGTAAGGCGCAAAAAAAAAGGAAACGAAGCATTTCTATCGCGGAACTCAACGGGCCCGTGATATCTTTTTTGTTCGCCTCCCGTTTATCCGGCTTTTATTTGACTTGCTAATTTGCTAATTTGAAACAGCACTTGTACGCACAAGACGAGGCCAGGCGTACCTCTCCCTCGATACTGTCATTATTCAGTATAAAACTCAATGGCTTCCTTAATACGTTCCGATCCTTCTTTCTCGGCTTTCCGTGCCATAGGACAAAGGATAGCAATTAACAATATCGCACAGCGTATCTCTTACCGCTTTTATCTTTGAAACGGATAAATTATGTTTAAACGTGAGAGAGAGAGAGAGAGAGAGAGAGAGAGAGAGAGAGAGAGAGCGAAGTGTAGTTTTATAATTTAAAGAATGAAAAAGTCCAATAAAGACGAAACGAGATGTAATAATAAATTTAATTATCTTTGTGCAACAGTCCGAGCCAAGTTTTCACTTGCCATCAATTCAAAGATGCCCCGTGCGGGCGCAGAAACTTGATGTAACAATGTTGCAGAAAATATGGAACCGGGCGAATTTTCTCAAAGCCCTGGAAAAGGGCAATAACGACACCGCGAGAGATTAATTGAATTGTGCAATCACGCGCCGTGTAACTCTTGCGATACAAGCGTATCACTGCAAATGCGCGTAGAAACACGATGACTCGCGAATGAGTTATTATCGCGTATCTCTTCATTCTCCTCGTTTCGGAATGTCGGCGCATAATCGAAACGACGTTCCGATGTTCGTTCTCGATTCGCGTTTATCGATGTAAAATACAATTATCTCGCGATGCAATTTCCCACGATACGAAGCTGCTCCCCCCCTCTCTCTCTCTCTCTCTCTCTCTCTCTCTTTTTCTGTGTCCCTCGGACCACAGGAACAGCTCCGTTCGCGCGTTATCTCGGAGGTGCGCACGGAGCCAATTATAAATGTAAACGTGCGATGTTGTGTGCGCAGATTCACGGCGTTCCTGAATCAGGAGCGCGAACGTCGCGTGATCCTGCCGAAGGACGGCCGCGATGGTAACGGCTGGGTCTACTTCACGCACTGCACCGCGCTGTGCGTGTTCCTGGCGATCGCGATCTGCAGCGCGCCGTTGCTCTACGACTACACCGTGGTGTACCGCGGCAGCCTGGACGGCGCCATCCTCGCCTGCATCATCGGCACGATCCTCCACCTCTTCCTCTGGCTGTTGCTCTGGATCTTCCTCACCATCAAGCAACGCTGGACGTTCAAGCTGCGCGTCACCATCGGACGCGCCACCGTTAGGTCCGCCAGGTCGGTGAAGCTCGTCACCGACGTCGACCTGCTGTCGGCCAGGGATGACGACGAGAGCACCAGCGCGCCCCTCCTCGTCGTCGGTAACGGCAGGACGTACACCATCGCCGATACCTCGCCCAAAAAGGCCATTATGAGCGTCATACAGAAGGCCGCGATGGAGAGGAAAGCGCGATCTCAAGGTAATGAATGTTATTACCAACGAGGATATGTACCTTCGGAACACCTGTGCTTGGAGTTTTCGTCCTTACCGGACAGGTGTATATCAGTCTGCGCGTAAAGACACTTCGTTCGTTCCTCCGACTAAGAGCTCACGGTAAAATTGCTGAAAGATTGCTTTGCACAATTGACTCACGTTCGAGGACTCACATACGAGAACGCGTTTAGTTCTCGCTGTTTTTCTTTCATCGTGTGCCTCCTGCATCGAGCAATTTCGTGGTACCACAAAGCGTGACTTTAAAGTCATATTCCAGTTTTAATCGAGGATAGAACGAGAGGCGTGTGCAAACTGTGCCGCGCGCGTAAAATAAAACGAGCCGCGGGGCTTAAAACTCCGCTCGATCGAGAGTACGCGCGACTAACACCCCGAGGGCGATTTATCGACTTTTGCACGTCCGTCGCAGGCGGAAACGCCGATGGAGTCGACGGGGAATCGACGGCCGACGGTGACGAGCAGATCTACTGGCTCAGGCCGAAATTACGCCCTTCGCCCGCGCAATCTCCGAACGACACCGCCGGCGCGCCGACGTCCGACAAGGGTTGGCTGAACAAGAAACTGAAGCCTAAGGTCACCTTTAACGACCTGCCTAGTACGTCAGGCTCGCGGTAACTACCCTCCTCCCTCCTCTTGGTGTCTTTGTGTATCTGTTTCTGTGCTTGCGGCGCGCTCTGCTCTCTTTCTCTCGCATTCTCACACACCTGTGACACAAGCAGCACTCGTTTCCTTACTGCGCTCGAAAGCGTTTAACGCGCGATGCAATTCCGAAGAGGAATTCTGAAAGGTTGTCTATTTTCTTTCCCGCACGGAGAAAAATATCACATTCGGTTGCTGAGAGAAAAGTGATCGCTTAATTTAGCTCTCCTTTTCAAGTGTTTGGATTCCCGAGTTATATCTTCAAGGCTGTTTTCAACAGAAAACAGCTGTTTCAGTCTTACAGTCTTAAAATCACAAATTTTAGAGAAACGCGTCTTTTGTTTGTATTTACAAAAGAAGATGCTGTTCTGCTCTGAAGAATCTTATAGAACCTTGTACAGGAAGAAAGCCGAATATTTTTTACTGTTCCTGGTGGGAGTAGTAAACTTATTAGAAGATTTGAAGTATATTGCGAGTAAATTTAATATTTGTGGTGAACTTTTGGTAGATTCGCGGATATATAAATTTGTGAAATTCTCAAAACAAGTAATATTTGCTCGAATGCAACATGTATTTTTCTCTGTGTATGCACTTACGCGTTGAAAAAATATCGGGTTAATTATCTGAGACGTATTGAGACGTATTGAGCTTGATTTCGATGAAGCACAACGCGCATCGAAGCTATTTCTTTCTACCAGCTTCTTGCTACGCGCGAAACGTTCACTTTACCTGAGTATGATTGGCACGCGTAATCACGTTCTCCCATTCCACCTCTTGCCTCTTCCAACCTCCTCTCCTCTCTCTGCCGATGTAATCAATGTCTCGTCTCTGTGAGTATCAAATTCGAGAATTTCAGACTAGGATTGGCATCGAGAGACGCTTCCTTATCCGAGATCAGTATTTCTCGTCGTCGCGTGCGTCAGTATGCAGATCGCAGAGCTTTCGTGAACTCCTGTTTGCTTCACCTACATGGGCGTCCGTATTCTATTCCGCTTGGTATACGGTATCCAACTCTCTCTCTCTCTCTCTCTCTCTCTCTCTCTCTCTCTCTCTCTCTCTCTCTCTCTCTCTCTCTCTCTCTCTCTTTCGTTCTCTCTCTCTCTCTCTCTCTCTCTCTCTCTCTCTTTATCTTTCTCCGTCACCGTTTCACTATATCTCTTTCTGAACTTCGAGCTTTGAATATCGTCGACGATCGTTACATCGTCGCATAAGGGAATGAGACACCTCTCTTGATTGCTCTCGATTGATTTGCAGTAATAAGGGAAAAGCCAGACGAGGTGTCACTGACGGCGGGCCTGATGATGACGGAGATTACGCCACGTTACGTGAATTACCGCTGATCACTTCGCTAGATCCGGCCGACGACTCCACCTCCGAAGAGAACAAGGTATGCTATGCATGTTCCGATAAATCCTGATGTATCCCGATTCTCAATCTTCATTTTACAAGCAAAGAAACATACTTTAATCACTTTTCCCACGCTCTCGCAGCATCGGATTTTCTTTCTATGAAAGACGGATCTTTCCTCAGAGTATATTAACGAAGCAGCCGCGGTGCTCTCGGCGAGTCCTTTTGCGAGTTTGTTACTTGTCACATTTTGCAACGAACGTGCGGGACGTATAGAATGTGTTTTATTCACGTTACCGTGTTCTATTTCTCTGCACTCTGAATATGCTTCCGTCGCACCACCTGCTGCTTTTAATCTAGAGATATTCTTTTCGCATTTGACAGCGGACGAGATGGCCGATAACACGTAGGGACGGTATACCTAAATTCCGAAACGTAAGACACGCACAAGATTACTTTTTTTTCTGTGCTTCAACGTAACACCGATTAACTGCGTGTGTGCGTGTGTGTGTGTGTGTGTTCTCCGTCGTCCACTAACAAATCTTCACGATGGTGACGTGTGAAATTGATCCGAACAAGTGGACAATGAAGCACCAGACGATCGATTATTTATAAAGACGGTCGCGATATTATCATTGCATAGTACATGCAAATAATTTTCTGAAATATAATGGGTCGATGCAAATGATAAAGGAAAACTCGATACGACGATATCTATAAATATTCTACGATCGTATTGTTTCGTATAGAGTTTTGGCTTTCGATATATTTCTTTATCGATGTGTGTGGTAGTCTCTAGAATATACCTAGAATAAATTTTTAATTACCACAAATTACTTTATTTTTAGAGTAACTTTTAATTCATATGCATAACTACATATATATATATATATATATATATATATATATAGAGAGAGAGAGAGAGAGAGAGAGAGAGAGAGAGAGAGAGAGAGAGAGAGAGAGAAAAGTAGAGAGACACATACTTCCACTTAACATTTACACGTATGCTAAAACAGCTACGAAACTTTCGCAGCTTGGCAATTAGTCGCAAATAGTTGGCAGTGTTGTCGCAAAGCTCAATTTCAGAGCACGAACACACACACGAAACAACTGTCCCGAAAATTTTTGCCCGCTCATATTCTCATTTCTCGCGCGGCATGAAAACGAAATCTCCCCCGGTCTTCGCACGAAGCTGCGCCCGCGTTTACTAACGATGCCGTCCTTTTGACAGTTGCTCGAGTGCGTGAACGACGATCAAGTGACTTACTACGCGAGTGCGAATCGCGACCTACAACCGTCGGAGGGTGATCCTTCGCCCCTACTCACCCCCGACCCGCTACCCGATCCCGCAGCGGAACCGCTTCCGCTGCCACCTCCGACTCCAACCTCCGCACCAACCACCGAAATTGTCACGGCGCCACTAACTACAAACGCCCAGGTACTAACAACCTTAACACGCAACCGTCTAGCTCACTTAGACGAGAGACGCGAGATCGTCACTGCGCCAGGTGTCCCTCGTGCAACGAGACGTTTATTCGAATTAACGTCGCCAAACGAATCTCTGTCGGGATAGAATCTCCTCGCAGGTAGAATCACGCACTGACGATCTCACTCCTCGTTTGTAGTGTTCGAGGCTTTGCATGCGACTCCACACTTATTCCTCCGTACTCCTGTGCGTCCAAAATTGAAGTCAAGGAATGCGTTTTACTTCACATCTAGCGAGACTACATATATTTTTCTACGACAATTTCTCTACATCATTTATGTGTACAATTATCAGAGATGTGTGTATTATACTATTATTATACTATATATTATCGTTATTAGTGAGAAAGAAAAATTTTGTCTATAAATTTGTTAACGCATTATTCGTAAGTACTCGTTTGCTCCTGGGTATTTCCCGAATACCAGTAGATATCTTTGCAACGTCCACATAATGCTAACACTATACCGACATCCTAGCAGTTTCAAAAATCTCAGTCGCAGCGCACGTATCCCCTCGCGAGACCAAGTGAATACGCGACGTGAATCAGTTGACCCAAGGAATTTAAGCCTCGACGGCACTTTGCAGATGAACGGTGGTCAGACGCCGCGTTGCCTGCGCCGTGCGGACTCTGGGATGCCGCACGACGAGCTAACCCCGCGCTCGGACTCGTCCAACTCGCCGCCCCTCGACGCGGTGGGTGGCGGCGCCGGCTCGGTCGCCGGTCGCAGCAACACCAGCAGCAACAGCGAGACGTCCAGCGGCGTGCACAGCAACGCCAGTAACGCCAGCAACGCCAGCCACAGCAGCTCCCAACGCCGGGCGACCAGCGTGGATGACCTGACCGGGGAGCCGCGCGAAGAACCGCGCGAGCAGTGGCGCAGTTGCTCGCTCCAGCGAGGAACGCAGCCGCCCACGGCGAACAGCACATTCTCACCCCCCAACAGTCGCCCCGGCACCAGCCAGTCCTTCTCCTCACCCCAGTACGTGAACCACGTGCCGCCGTTCACCAACGCCGTCAACAATGACATCGGCGCCGGCTGCCCGGCGGTCATCCTGGAGAACCCGAACGAGGCTACGGTTGTGATCCGCCGCAAACTCTCGAGAACGAAACTGACGGACCCGCTGAACCCGAACGAGGAGCCGTTCGGCCGATCCACCAACATGCGGATGACCTCCTTCACGGAGAGCAACGACATCCGCATACAGGCTTCCTCGGCGACCCTGCCGCACTATCCCACGCAGCCGATCGTCACGTATCCGCATTGCTCCACGATGCCGTTGCCGCACGCGTCTCACAGCGTAGCGGGTGCCAACATGAGCGGCGGCTCCACCGGCAGCTGCGGTTCCGTGCCGCGGCACACGTTTGTGCCGCCACAGGTACACACCACCGTGCCGGCGCACACGACACTACCGTCGCATCACAACGGTGTCAGGCTACTCCACGGCGGCGGCGGCGGCGGCGGCGGTGGTGGTGGTGGTGGTGGTGGTGGTGGTGGTGGAGGCGGAGGCAACAGCGGCGGATGCGGCCCCAGCAATCCGTTCGTCAAGAGGTTCCCGGCGGTGCACCTGCACACCCAACCGTGGGCGCTGCCGGGCCATCATACTTTCCCGCAGCTGCCGCAGAGCAACAACAAGCTCTCCGCCACTGCGCAGATCAGACAGAGCGATCGGGACTCGGCGAACTTCTCCATGGCCAGCAGCGGCGACTCCGACACGTGTTTGCCGCATTAAAGCGCGAGCAAACGTGTGCCGTGTGAAAACCGCCGCTGGCTTTAGACGTATTATCAGGGAGTGTGAGCGTGCCAGTCGCGCCGGCCAACTCCGGACTCTTGTCGGAGGGTCTGAGTGTGTTTTAGGTGATACTCGGTATTTTCGTAATTGACATTTCGTCATATTGGACGAACGAGGCTGCGGTTCCACCACCGCTTCTCTCCACTGGGAGGCTTGTTCTTCGACGGTAGTTGAGATCGATCGACGACGCGTCGGCCGGAGAAGAAGTTTGCGCGAACTCGAGGCGAATTGAGCGCGCACGAATGAACTCGGCTGCGGGATCGACGGTTAATCCGTAGGGGGAGCAGTGAGCGCAATTGTAATCGCGCGCGTCAGCGCGTCGCGTTATCAGGTATGAGTTGTTTAAGGAATCGTGTGAGAGCGCGTTCTCTGTGCGCCTCTCGCATGTCGACATTCGGAGAAAGCAGAGAGTCGGGTTTCGGGTGACACGACATATCACACGCACTTTGCCGTTTGTTAGCGTATAAATATGGCATTCCTTCATATCGCTATCTCTATTTTTTATAATCTGATCTAACCCGACTCGTCGGTCGGATCTTACCTGATTATTTAGATAGATGTGCGACTATGTGCTGTTGATGTAGAGTTCGTCGCTGATGAATCGCGTACAAGCATGAAAATTCCATTCGTTTTAATAAACGGCAAACGTGAGCGACGTAAAGAAAAAAAAGAAAAAGACAGATAAAACAAGGATGAAGGAAGCGCGAACGATCATCGCGCCACGAGTAGCTCTCGTGGAGATGACTAATAACTATATTCATAAAAGCACCAATTCCGTTACATACATATCCTACATATGTTGTGATCCTATTTTATCTCTAATCTCTCGCAGCAATAAAACGAAATATTCGGAGCGAATAGTAATAAATAGCGAAACAATAGTTACTCGATCAAGAAATCCTCATCCTGATTAAGACGCGTGAAATCGGATTACGATTAATTGATACAAGTATAAATAATAATAAATCTCTATGCTCGAGTTTGCGCAAACGTCTCGCGGCACGCGTCGACTCGTGCTTATAGTTAAAAATCGTCATTTCCATTCTATTATCTCGATATACGAGGGAGATAAACGCTTCGCGTGTTTTGAAGATGCCGAAAGCAGTCGTCGGCGGGCGAGAGTGAGAATAACGTAGTTATCCTATTTTAGGTATGGAAAAAAAGTTATCGTGTTGTCCTAAATAAAATTTGTGTATAGAATGAAATAAGGATAGTCGGTTAAGGAAATGTGGAAAAACTCGGGTCGCTACTTGGTAAGCACGTATGCTTCTGTATATTTAAGATCTTTTTTCTACCGACAACTATTGTAAATTTTGTTAAAACATATTTGTACATTGCTGATTGTTTGTTTGTACTACGACTCGGGCGAGTCACTTTTTTAACTGCGATAAGGTGAAAAGTGAACAGATATTTTCACGTTCGAAATGCCATGTTCCAGCTGTGCGCGAGACCCTTTTTTCGTAATCTTTCATTGTCTTTCCTTTTCGCTGAGTCGGATAAGTGGCAATGAGCAAATGAGTTGTCCATTATCATTAATCCCGTTCAGCTGGTTAGATAACAAGTAATTTCATCATTATTTAATTTTTCCTATTTTTGTCCTACATATATACTTTTTCGTCTAGATCCGTCGTCATCGAGATGAATGTTTATTTGTCCGCGAATCTTGTATGAGTTGTACGTTTATAAATATTAGGAATTACGTACGAGATGATGCGCGAACGGTTTTTGTATTGAATTATTATACCGTAGGAACACAGTGCCGATTGCAGTCGTGCGATTTACGGCCTCGACGAGATTTTTACGGTACATACATCCAGAAATTCACCTTAAATCTCTTTATGGCCTGATAACAGGATGCTCTACAAGGCTCTCCTCGGCCTTGGCGTGTCGTAAGCCGTGTCGTAAGATTTGCAATATTAACAGTGCCATCAGAGTTAGTAAGCACACAATCAGCATAGAGATAGGGACGGTACTTTGTTCCGTAATAATAAGCAGAGGCTGCTCATGCCGTTTAGTTTATGCTGCGAGCAACAGCCGAAGATGATTCATCGCGCGACGATAATGTGTGCTATTTATCTGTCTGTGAGAGTACCCAGCATTTCTATACCAGTCTGTAGTCTGATACTCTTCGTTACGATCATCGCGCGAGATGCGCAGCGTACGCGATCAACATTTCACGCGCGACGTTCCTACCCTTTTGATTTCTTCTCTTCTCTTCTCATTATCGGAGATAATTCTATCTATCTGTTGGTATATTATTTATAAATCGATGCACAACGAGTATTTATTTAACGCTCGCAAACTGTATGTATACAAGAGAATCATTAGCGCGCCGTAAGAAGAGAAGGACACGCGTGCGTGCGCAGTATGCCGTGAGCGAAAGTTTGATGAGGAAGCGATTACTGCCACTAATCGTGAAGATCTACCGATCTCCATTGTATTTACTTATTTCGTCGACTGCCATGTTATTTCGTCCTTTCGTGAAGTATGAATAATCACCGTGCTCGTTTTCACTCGTACCTAGGTGCATTTACTTGCGCGTACGCCAATTGGTGCGTGCGCGACGGGCACCGTTCGCTATATCGGTTGCGTTCTTTCGCGACTATATATATCACTTTATGAGACGCGTGATATTACGCAGACAGAGATTGGTCTCTCGCGAAGATGCGTCACATCCTCCTCGAGTCGCTCTCTCTCTCGCAATCTAATACGTGACGGACGAAATGATGAGCAGCGACGCGACGTTCGCGTCTCGTCGCTATCACACTCGTTTATAATTCTCCGGGATGGGTGATGTTCCCGAAGAAGTCAATATATTACAGATCGATTCGTCCGCCCAAAAACAAACCGCCATTTTTCAATAAATGCATTCCTCCGCTCGGATGGCAATGCATGTTGATGATTTGTAATAATTCGCGATCGTACAATCGAATTCGATTCCACAGCGAAGCGGATTCGTTCATTCGTAGGTCGATTGACGCTTTATTAGATTGCGAAGAGGTCAAAGAGAGGAATGTGTGTGTGTGTGTGTGTGTGTGAAACTCTCTGACGCAGGTTGGATGATTCGGACGAGTGAGGTTGCATTATGATTGAAATCGTTTACAATAAAACATCCGTTTGATATGCAAGGCGCAACGATGAGAAGTATTGTCCAACCGGACGAATCCGGTCTGGTTTGCAGGTCTGTCTGAATGATATGAGATGAGATTCGTGTCAATTTACAGAATCTTTTCGAAACGACGCGACACAAGTTTAGAATTAATGAATTCTCCTTGACGCGATTATCAAACCGTCAGGAATCTGATGGCCGTGAGCCAATTGCTATAAGCGTTATCATTATTCCACGTCACGTATATATAATGAAACATTAGCCACACTGTACAAAAGATTGTACGCACCGTTTCTGAGAGATTGAAATGACTTGTTACACGTTAATCTGAGACAAACGCAGAGATATTTTTTTTTTCGTAAACACCGATGCGAGGACACGAACGCAATGATGAACATGAAATAGTATTACACGGTCGTATATATACTCGCGACTCGCAGCACGTGACGTGCTCACGATTAAAAAGACTTTACGCATTCCGTGAAGGTGACTACCGGCAACCGAAAGAAAGTATAAGCGACAAAGTTCGGCGACTCATACCGGACAATGTTGAGACAGTGCGATTCTTCGAGCGAGATGCGTCTTTGTTTTTCCGGTATCTTCCAGTTGTACTAGTAATAATAATACAAAATATTCTCAAAATGGACACGCATTGCCCCGAAAAGTCAGAATTTCGAAATTCGGCAACTAGGACAATTACCCGAAAGTCATAAAATATCAAAACCTGTTGAGACGACATTCCGAAATATAATTTTCCTGAAACGTAAGATTGCTCGAGAAACGAGTATTACCCCGAAAACGAAAAAAAAAAAGAAATGAAAACCACGAGTGTACTAATATTTACCAGTTTGGGTACACTCTTGTACTCGAATGAGTAGATATTAACGCACCCGACTGTACAACGAGACAATTCCGATATTTCCAATAAAATTGTATTTCGGAAAATTGTCTCGGTGGTCAAGTTCCAGTATTGACTCCTTAGAAAATTGTTCCACTTTTTAAATTTCGATAGATTTCCTTTTCGGGACGATATGCGGGCCCGCATCTTGTTTGTAGGATGCGATTTCCGTTAAATGCGAGTTGTTGTGCGAGAAAAATATTAACGATTCACCGAGTCTCGAGAGATTTATTTTGAGAGGGAGATAAGAAAAATGAATAGCGTGCTTTTTTCAATTTACTTAGGATATTACACGAAAAAATGTGATGTGTAATCCGAGTGCAAATGTAGTGGGTTGTAAACGATCGGTCTACTGTATCAAGAGTACTTCGTCTTATCGTAGTCGTATTAGCGGCATTTAGACATTTGCACGAGAGCTTGTATCGACGGCCGTTTACGGAGAGTGGTATCGTGATACCCGCTGCGCGTCTGAGTCTTGGGTTCCGATTCCGTTGCGAAGCAAAAGACACAGTAGCGCGCATTGTCTTGTACCGAGACATGAGAAAGCACCTGTCGACAGGCACAAGAGATCGACCAATTGATCCACGAGCGGCAAGTCAGACACATTTTTACGACTCAGCGAGCGCTTTGTCATTGCCGATCTCGTACATATCATCCCGCAAGGACCATGCGTTTCGCGATGACATTTTTGAGGATACTCAAACAATAGCACGAAGCATCGATATCAAGGGCTGGACCAGACTTCTTAACGATCGATGAGCTCTAATACCCGACGCAGTACGAAGATATTTTTTAACGGCTATTTTCGATACGCTATCAGACGTAATGAGGAGAACGGGGAAATTTTTCGTAGGGAAGAGCTTGAGATCCAAATTTAGAGGAAGAAAGAAAGGCTCACATATTCGGTCTCCTGATCGTAATCCCGCGTAGCCCACTAAACGCTCCCCAGCCTTGATTCTGTTTCGAAGTAGGTACTTAACGCGCTAGGATCATGTATTATTCTCTCAATGCAAGTGCTTCGGCATAACACTCTCTTCCACAAACTCGCGGGTGCTTCCGTTATCGAGGAATCTTCAGACGCTACGACATTTTCTTGTCCTTGCTGTCTTTCGTATACAAAATGAAAGAGAAAAGCTAATTTTATATAAATCGAATTATACAATTTCCTAATGTAACTTTTGAATTTTCCCCTTAATTTAAACAATTTTTTTATCTTCTATATAAATTTTACGTTTTCTCAAACTTATTTTTTTTTTTTATTATTTTGGTGCCATTTTAGGTCGTACAAAGTCTCGCTAGAACGACAACAAGTGAATTGACGATCTCTCGAGCAGTATCCCATAGTATCTAACGAAGATTTTCTCGATAACGCGAGTTTGCGCGTATACACAATCGATGCATTCTTGATCGCGCCGTCGCAACCGCCAATGATACAATATTTGCGAGATGCACACAGCAGCGGTAGTAGCACAAAGAAAATCCTATCTTTTGATAACTGCACCACGGATACGGCGGACATTGCTGCGGCGTAATCGCGACGACCATCATAGAAAATAGTTGTCGTCGTCAGTGGGGCGCGCGTCTCGATGTATAATTATTCAAGACATCGCATCAAGAACAATCGAAATAAATCCGCTTGCTTTTTCGTACGTAACGAACGCGTGTCTCGTTTTCGTTTGGAGATAAATATCAAAAGTTACTCGTTATCGAATATTAAATTATTCCGCCTTCTTCCGCTGCCTTTTCTACGCTTAATGGGGAACGCTTTTTTCCCCAGAGCGCGTATAATAAATAAATTCATCCGTCTATCTCTTCCCTAGACGGAGAGTCGAACGTTCCATACTTCGATCGCATCGCATTTTATTCGCGTCTACACAATGACCTCACGCGAGTCTGAACATTCGTTCACGTCTGAATGAATCACGATGGACGCTTGCCCCGTTCACGACGACTATGCTTCGTTTATACTTGCGTGCAGTTAAAATCACGTTAGTAGTCGTCATCGACGTATGCGAGAAACAAGCGCGGCGACGAATACAAAAGCTGCCTCTCGCAGAAATATTTTTTTACCGTCTAGTGTCAGAGCGACCGTACTCTAATTCGTTTTAGATCCGGCTAGAAGAACCTAGACGTAGGGTGTGACCGTAGGCAGTCAAGGAAGGCTCCGCACCGGAGGCGTTTCGAGAGAGCAAAGAGCAACAAAATCTCTATTGCCGCGACGCGCAGCCCCGAGAATCGCTCGTACCTTAACCCGTATAACGAACACACGTACACTCAATGTGACTTGATTGTCAGACAGGAGAGACACAGTTGTATCGATAATATCCTCGTGATGAAACAAATGGCGTCGTAGATAACTATGCACTACTACCAACGACAACATCGAGCACCAATCAACGTCCCGACGAGCGAAACACTTCTAAGGATCCGCAAACGCGAGAGCACGCGAACATTAACGTGAAAATTACCATTCAAATCCTTGGGATTTCGGAGAGCATTGAGTAGTGAAATCGGGATAGTACAACACAGATTCAACAATTGATACTGTTACAAAAGCTGTTGCTTCAGGCAGGGTTAAGGTCACGAGATGAACGTCATGACACCAAGGTCCGACAGTGAAATTGGCTGATCAAAATTCTAAGATTTTTTTTCTATTTTTGTTACTTAATCATTGATCACGCGCGGAACCGCTTTTTCAGGTTCCATCTGAACGAGAGCATTGCGGAAAGAGCCGGTCAGAGCCCTCCAGGGAAGAATCACGTCCCAAGGGCGTATGTATAACCGCGAGAGAGTGCTTAATTGATGATGTGTCATTATCGACGGCTCCTCCTCCGAGAGAAAGAGAGAGAGAGAGAGAGAGAGAGAGAGAGAAAACACTGTAAATAATCGAGAATGATCACGTCGAGTGAAGAGAGACCGCGAATGCGAATGAATGCGTGCGTGAGTGAGCGCGAGCGAGACGGACACATAATACAGCGAATGTGTGTACGAATAACTGTATAAAGACTGATTAGATTAGCCTTGGTATTTATTCGAATTTAACGATTAAACGCTACCGCTTTGCGCGCCCTAAAATATTCACGGAGCACGATGCCAAAGTTATTCGTTTTTTTTTTCTTTTTTTTTTCCGGCGGACTAGCTCGTCTCTTTCTTTCCTTATTGTTCTCATTTAAACAGAGACGAAAGTCGAATATTATGTCTCGATCAACCGTGCGCTTTTATTTTCCTTTCGTTGCTCCATCGTTGTTCTATTTTCTCCCACCCGGAATGTAATTCGGGCTTTCCACGCCTCGCACAGTTTTCCCTGAGGTTCCCTGAGGAATCTCCGCGCTGGCCTATATAGGGTTCATTGTCGAGAGAAACGTTCTTTTCCCGCCTTGCGAAACGTTCGCTTCGTGTATCGTTATTCCGTTTCAGCCACACACGCCTGTTTTAGCGGATAACGGCCTGATGATGCGAAAAAAAGATGAAAGAGCAAAGGCTGACGGTGTATAGAGAGATCCGATGTGTGTCAATACGTTTCGAACGAGTCTGCGTTACCTCTGTGCACGCTTTGATTCTTTTTTTCTTTCTTTTCTTTTTTTTTTTTCCTTTAGTAAAATCGACGATCCGACACGTTCTCACCATCGTGCTCGAATACGTATGAACGCAGCAAAGGCAGAGGGAAGAATGATATTGCGCGGTTATAACAGCGACATTATTATCGTCACAACGTATCACAATATTATTCAATGCATCGTATAAACCAGTAAACTAAATGTAAACTTTGTATATTCATTTACTAAGAGAATAAAAGTAAATTATTCGATGAATAAACAACTCGACTCGCGAGATAGTCTCCCCATTCCTCGATCGTCGCGATCCAGCAAAACGAACTCAAAGGATTCGGGCACGCGAAATTAATTCGGGCAAGCGAAGTTTCAAGTTTTTCTGAAACTTATTTTTATTGACGAGTAACAAATATTCTTATTCAGACAGATCGTAATAATTATAATAATATGTAAAAACTAGATTTTTATTTAATGTATGTGTTCACAAACTTTCCATAAGAGCTCGCGCTCTCTTCAACTCTGAAAAAAATGTGATATATGATAAAATATCTTAATTAGTATATTGTACTGAGAATCATATCGGCGATGAAACAAAAATTGTTTTAAATATGTTACGAAATTATTACGATTTCGCGAGCTACAAAAATTCATACCCTTTAATAACACTTGCACGTCGTCCTTTGAGATATTTATGGTGGAATCCTCCTCCTTGCCGTCTACCTTCTTCAGCTTTAACGCCACGGTAGAAACGGGCGATGCGCTGTCGCAAGGTAGCACTTCGATAGAGGACAAACGACTGACTGCAAAGGTAAGTCAATTTTGACGAAAATCAGAAATGTGAGACAATCGAAAGATATATAGCTAATTATTAAATTAAAGCTAATTTAAAAAGAAAAAAAAAGAAAACAAAAGGAAAAAAGGAAAACAATTGAACAAAGTTCTGTTCCCAGGCTCAAATCTTTTCCAGACAATGAAGTAAAACCTATAAATACATAGACCTATATCGGTCTATGTATCTCGAAATTAGGCTTACAAGAACGGTACATCTCTTGTGTAAAATGACAAAAGATCTCACCTCTCAAGGATTGAGACGAGAGGACAGCCGTGATCTGAGGACAGTGATCGGTGTGAAGCCTCGCCACGGCAGTGCTGTGCTCCCGCGGAAGTCCCAACTGTTGCAGCTCGCTGCTCAAATCGGCGGCGGAAACGCCGTATCGGGCGGAAGATGTGAAAATCAATTCGAGCGCAGCTACCATCGCTTTCGCGTCACCTATGTCTATGAGCAGAACGAACATTTCTACATCTTCGTTTCGAACCGACGGTCGATTGCCGTTTGTACTTAAATTTTGTGATTACGTCAATGATAAAACACTGAATTACACGCACCGAGTTTAGCGTCTTGCGTGATCTTTTTTACTTTTTCCTCCTAAAAAAATTGGGTATGGCGCAATTAAGAAAAAGATCGACAAGCACTCGAAATAACAGATATAAAAACGCATGCAATTTGAAGTTAACAGTCATTTATTATACAAGCGTGAGTATCACGGACATTATGAGTTATTTTCAAGAATAAAAATTTGAATTGGAAATGTCCAATAAAATGATGAGAAAGAAAGCTCTACTCAACAAGACGACAGCTTTCGGATAGATCAACAATTTATATTTACATCTAATTCTCCCTCGGTCAAATACTTAGCCACTGCTTGGCCCAGCATTTTCATCTTAATCGAAGTCTAAAAATAAAGCATTAAACATCGTTACATCGCGAAAAATATATCGGAGCCTCGCGACTCCGTACGAGTGAAATTGTATTGTAAAATGAACAGAATACCATTCGCGAAAGAGTGTTGATTTCCGCCAATAACCAATCTGGACAGTCGCCATCGCCGAGAAATCTGAATCTCTAATATGATAAAACACAATCAGGCGCGAAAGCGTTAAACTAAATTGCAGCTTATATTAAATCTCATTCAGGACAAACTATATACTACACAAATATAAAAGAAAAAGCAACATGTGTCGCAGAAATTTCATACATTCAAGGATCTTACCATTTTGAAAATAATTCCTAGTTCCCGTTCTTGATCACTGCGTTCCTCTCACCTGCAAGCCGTATCAGACACAATTTTTTTTAACGGAAAGAAGTCTCTCCTCTGTCTGCGTAACATATATTTACACGAGCTTTGCACGAGAGAGAGAGAGAGAGAGAGAGAGAGAGAGAGAGAGAGAGAGAGAGAGAGAGTGAGAGAGAGAGAGAGAGAGAGAGAGAGAGAGAGAGAGAGAGAGAGAGAGAGAGAGAGAGAGAGAGAGAGAGAGAGAGAGAGAGAGAGAGAGAGGGAATAGCCACGCACAAAAGTACGTAATGCATAAAAGAAACGCAATTGTGCTCCTCTTCGACGTTCACAGTGAGTAAGCTTTTCTCTTTTACTGCGATATTTACAAGTCTTCGAATTATTACGTAGCAGAATACACTCATCTCGAGCCCGCCGCGCTGCTCCGGCCTCTGCTCGCTTCGAAGAAATGTTTAATCAACATCACGTTAGAATTCACCGTCGAGCTTCCACCGCGCATACGTGGAGATCTCTACGCCAGACCAATCATAACCGCACGCCGACCACGCGAAAACCCCTCGCACCCACCCGACCTCTCGGGACGGGGAGAACAGCGGGTGAACAGCTCTTCCACGAGGTTTTCCGTCGCGAAGCTCCGCGATACAGCCCCACGGAGGGTCCCTTTCTCGCATCGGTAATGCTGCCAACAATAAGGTATCACGACGCTCGGACGGACGTCAGGATGTTTGCCCTCGTCGGTGGGAGTAGATTGGCATGGGCATCCGCGCCAGGTGAACGAATTCCCCATGCAATCCGCCTAATCCTTCGACCGCGACCAGGTGACCCACGGGACTTTCGGCCGACGGACATAAATACCGCGAATGCGCTCGGCCTATCGTCACTCTGCTCGGGGAAGTTGCGGACGCCGAAACGAACACCCGTCGTCAACAGGTGAACGCCGCAACAGGTAAGAAGAGACCCGTCCGGGATTCGGCAATGAGGTCGCGAGACACTTCGTAGACACCTCCCCATGATAATTAAGGAGACTGGAGGGTCAGATTGCTGAAAAATCGTGCTTACTTTTGATATTATTTTGTGACGAACTGCGAATAAATGTGCAAGAATGAAAAATTTTAGGTATATCTGTACAACATATGAAGAGTAGAAAAATTTTGTTTATTAGTAAATACTCATATAAATATACGATATACAGAGCTGAAATATGATCTCCTTTTTTTTTCAAATTGTCGCTTTTCATCAGTAATATCTCGGCTCTCGGTGGTCCGATCAGAGTGAATTTTAGCTAGAAATCTTGAGGAGGCTTATCATTATCCGGTGAACCGCTATAAAAAAAAATCGAACAAAATTAACAAAATGGCAGCTATTATTAGGAAAAAATTCAAATTCAAATTTCAGTTTCTTTACAATAAAAGAATTAATATCTCGAAATGAAATATTTTGACGGAGTTGTCTATGGGTTCACTTGAGAGCCAGATGAACAAATATTATTGCTTCAAAATTTCAAATCGACACGAAGCTCAGTTTCGGAGAAATCACTGCAAAAAGTTGAACAATAAAATTTCAAGAGAAACTCATTTAGAATTTAAGTGGGCATATATTTATATGAGTATTTGTCAATGAACAAAAGTCTCCTACTCTTCATATGTTACATAAATATATCTCAAATTTTCATTCTCGCACATTTATTCAGTTTGTCATAAAATATTATCAGAAACAAGCACGATTCTTGAGTAATCTGACCCTCTAGTCCCCTCAACGAAGCGGTCAAATTGCAAGTAAACGCCTCTCACGATCGCCCAATTGTAACAATTAATACCCTACGTTTTGTCAAACTTAACTGAATTACATAGACAATTAGTGTTCTCTTTATGGCTAGGCGGGTGTAAGTTTGGAAGACGCTCGGCTCGGCTGATCCACAATAGGCCTGCGACGAGGGCAGATCGAGAGCCCGCCGCTTTTTCGCAGCGTCGAGGAAGAATCCACGAGTTATCCTTTCGGCAATGAGGAGGATACTTCTGACCATGACCCTGCTGTCGACGGCAATGTCCGAAAATATTCTGGTAAGACGTCTGGTCTCCTGGCGTGTAATGATGAAACGCGCGTAAGGTGTGGCTCTTTTTCACTCCGAGATGGAGAACCATCCGGCATCAACGGCGTGGAGCCGCGAGAAGCAGTTCTGGAATAAGAAACTAGAGCGAGCGTCGCGGGATGACATCCCGTTGGAACTGAAAGCTATCCCGAATTACGGCGACGACAGGCAGTTCCCTCGGATCACGGACACACGGCTCGTCGACGAACCCGTGCAGCTGTCGCCGATAACGGTTATCAGGTGAGACAATGACAATTGCGGTATCGCTGAGCCGGCTCGCTTTCCCGTCGTCCGCGCGAAAAATTCGCCAACGAGCACGTTCTATTCGGAAAATTTTCGGAGAACGACGCAGGACGACGACGCAAGCTCGAACTCTCCTCCGCGCCTTCGTTTTCATTGCAGGCGGCCCGACTTCATGCGATTCTCCCTAGCTGGTCTATTGCCGGACAAGCCGAAGTTCGACAACACCAGGCCGACGGTCTTGATCTCCATCGGCATACAGAACAAGAAGGCGGTTGACCGTACGCAGGAGGAATGCTCGACGAGGAAGAGCTTCCGCAAGCATAATCTAGACCGGCAGATGCAGCAGCCGTTCTACGTCGAGGAGCCGCGGTGGATCGAGATCGACCCCAGCTACGCGGACGGGTCGGCTCAGGAAAACGCCGATCCTTACATAATGTCGCGAGGCAAGAAATTCAAGATGAAGAGCCCGGACAAATTGGAGAAGACGATCGAGGATTACAAGGAGATCCTGGATTACACGAGCAGGAGCAAGAGGCTGTCGACGAAAAACCACGTCCACAGATCCATCGAAGCGACGGACGAAGGCTTCCAGACTAACACGCTTGGCGAGAAGCGCGGTCGGGATGAGGAGTCGAGCCGCTACGACCTCCTCCGGGATCTCGGAAGACCTATCAGCAAGATCGCGTCGATCCGAATGGAGAGTGACGCAGACGAGAAGAAGTCGCCGAAAATCGACGAGAGGTTCGACGATGAAAACGACGAGAAGAGGAAGTACACCCTTATGAGTCCTGTTCGCGGGGGGGTCTTCGTCGATAGATTACAGACGCGAGGATCGCCGTACGCTCACAAATTCGTAGAGAAGAATCGAGCTGCCGCGAACGACACGTTAATCGCAAACTCCATCGAACAAGAGCTGCAGCGTGAAGATGTTCCAAGATACGTTAAAAACGACGTTAAAAACGATGAGACCGTGAAGGTCGACAAGAGATTCCGCAAGGAGGACTTCGCCGGACTCGGTACGGGTCCAAGTAACGAAGGAGCATTCGAAAGCGACATGTTCATCAGGGCGCACGAGAAGCGCGGGAACCGCGAGATCGGCTGGACAAGTCTGAACTACAAGGACTACGTCGGCAAGAAGAAAAGCACCGCACCTGAGCGAACGCGCAACAATGATTATCCTGACGGATTTGACAACTTCAGCACATACGGCGACCTTTTCATCCCGTTCCGCGGTAAGAAACTGTTCGATGGCGATTCCGAGCAGATATCTGGCAGGAGGAATACAAGGCTGAACAGGCCCTTCGCAGGACGCTGGCAAGATTCGCCGAGCATCGAGCGTTACGCGCATCACAAGGAACCCGAGAGAGAGGAGAGAGAAGCAAAGAACGATGTAAACGGACCAGATTTCGGCAAGGACGACGCAAGGACGACAGACTCGCAATCGACGAAGAAGCCGGACTCAAAAAGCTCCTTCGAAACGAAGAGGCATTCGAATTACCGGGAGAAGCGCGACATTTACGAGGCCAGACACGAGCTCCGAGAGGACGCGTTGCTGAGGAGCATCGAGGAGGAGATTGCGGAGTCTGCCGAAGCTTACTTGAAGCCGAGAAACAAGCATAGCAACGCCCCGGACCTGCAGACCCACCTGTCCACTGGACCTTTCTTCGTCATGCGAGGTAAAAAGGTGCCGCGCGAACTCTCATACACGCTGAACTCGATGACAGAGTGGCCGAACAACGTGATGATTGACATCGTTCGAGCGATACATCGATCGATGAAGCAGGATCCGTTGAAGATGCTGCTGACGGAGAGGTCCAAGTGCAACGACGACGAAAACTGCGACACCGACGCGAACCGGTCGCCGAAGAGCAAGACGATGATGACGATGAGAGACCGACGCGACTCGTTCGATAAGTTCTTGAGGAAGCACGACCCGTTCATGTTAATGAGGGGCAAAAAGCTGAAATTGGAAAACTTTTAGTACAACAGCCGACCGTAGCGGCAGCGAAAGAGTCGCGCCGTTTGAGTGGATTTCAGCTTCGTTTTCTATCGCTGCACTACCTCGCACCAGGTATATTTTCCTTTCCCCTCCCAAGTTCCGAAAGTGTACATCAGCGGTAGAAAACAAATCTTTCGATTACGGACGCTACGCGAGACGACAGGTCTTCGACGTATCCTTCCTGATGACCTCGCGATGACGCTACGACAAGGAAGCGGGACGTGTGACCTCGGGTGACCGCGGTCTCCCCCCGATGTACGTAGATTGCTACTTGCTTTGGCTGTGCTCGGAACGCGATGCGACTTCAAACACAGCGACGTATCATTTTTCCAGACAACCGTATTCGTTGCGAATTCGAGCGAATGGCGAGAAGATTATGAGTTACTTAGAATTAGAAGGTTAAACTCAGTGCGCGTGACAAGGAATTACTTGTGCTGCAAACCTCTAGGTTTGCAGGCTCTAGTCTGCAAACGCGCGAACCCGTCAATAATTACGGAGCAAATGCAAAATTTATGACGATCTGAGCACGTAGTCTGCATTCGCGTGACATACTCTAGTATAAACTCGACATACTTATAATGTGTAATGTTACTGCATGTCTATCGTTAAAACTGACAGATTTGCGGCGTAAACAGAGGTCACAACATTGAATCGATACGTTGATTGAAACAGCAAATAAAAGTTGATATAAATCTTAGAATTGCTATATATAACTGACATGCCATTAATATACTCGTTTCGTAAGCACAAAGAAAAGGCCGAAAAGTATAAAGGAACTTCTGTGATGATAAAACTCCTTGCTTTGATAAAACTCCAAAACATAACCTATACGAACGCAGTTATCGAGAAGCTGTTTCCTCGTTGCAAACTGTGTCGTCGATTGCTTTGTGCTTGAACGTATCGCTCGAACACGTTGGTTCGCACGCAAACTGTGCGAAGTAAAAATTATTACCTGCCAAACATCGACGCTCGCCAAAATTTGACACTTCCCCCCACGTTATACAGGTTAGACGGCCGTGACAACTCTCTCTCTCTCTCTCTCTCTCTCTCTCTCTCTCTCTCTCTCTCTCTCTCTCTCTCTCTCTCTATGTTGGCTACAGGCGCCTGATAAGACGATTTCCCCTACGCCATTTCTGTCGTGACAATTCCCCAACTACTAGTGGTGGAACACTATCGATGACATTATCGATAGCATCATCGATATTTTGCACATCGGTAACAATCGACAGTTTACTTTGCACCATCGATAATTTTCGATAGTTTATTTATTTCTCAATTCTATGTATAAATAGCAATTGGTGTAGAAAAGTTTTATATCGTTTGATCAACAATTAATAAACTCATTTATTTTCGCTTGAACAAATAAATATAGTTTAAAAAATATGCCTGTCGTTAATTTTATAATACCAAAGGGAAGAAGGAGAGAGAGGTCACGGACCGCTTTTAGCCGAGCCCAGTGTGAGGCGCCCTCTGTATGACCGTGCACATGAACTACGATGCCAATGTCCACGCTCTTTTCTGATTCCCCCCACCACGCCTATCCGTGTGGACCACGCGTTCGGCGATCGTCGGCGTGCCGAGCGACAGAGAGATATCATTCCCTCCTTCTCGCTCTCGTGTTCGCTCAGCGACGCGAGCGAGAATATCTTTCCCTCTTTCTCGCTCTCGTTCTCGCTCAGCGACGCGGCGAGGCTAAGGCCCCTTGCACAATGCCAGGCAACAAGCAATAAGAATAAAAATAGACCAATCACAATCGACTATTACAAGAATAATCTATTGTGATTGGTCTATTTTAATTCTTATTGCCTGTTGCCTGGCGCGCGCCGAGATGGATGGAGGAGCAGCTTCGCAGCTGCTTGGGCCACAGCGGGGGGCCTAATCGATCCAGCAACTAATGATGGCTTGCGGGTGGGTAGGTGCGACGAGGTAAAACACGAATAGTGGGACGTGTCTTTCCTCTCGCCGCGCACCGTCATTACTTGCTAGTTGTATTATCATGAGCGTAGCTAAAGCAATCGGTATTATCATTGCTCTTCAATTACCTCCCGGCTCCTTCGGGTCTTTCTAGCTGATACGAACATTTACCCAGGGCTGTCGGTCTTTATATTATCTCGTCGGTGGTAACAGACAGATGGAATAATGGGAAAAAGGCATCGGAAAATATCAATTATTATAATGAGTAATAATTGATAAATAATTGGTAAAACTTGATAGATCCTTATGACCTTAATATTTAATAAAGTTGCTCGACTTTCATTTGCAGATAGTGGCGACTCGTAGCGGAGTCTTTGGAAGTAATTAAAATAACGGGTCTAACGTAGCGGTTGCAAATACCGCGAAATAATATTTTTAGCCGAAACATGAATTTTTCGGTATGCGACATAAGACTTTGCTTCTCACATTGCAGCGATCGATGCGAATAGAAATAGTGCTCGATCTACGAATGCCGACCTAGTATAGATAAATAGATAAATGCACCGGTTGCCTCGCTTACAGAGTACGTCTACACCCGGTTTGCACTGAAATCCTTTAACGCACTTTTTGCATAGTAAAGCGACGGCAAAGATCGGCACAGTCGGATGCAGCACAGGGTATGAGATTTTGGATATCGTTTTTTTATTAACGTTTTATTTGTTACAATTTTGATTATACATACATATAATGCGGATTCTTCTTTAAACACATGATTGCTATGATACAAATGACGAGGATAAAAATTTGGAGTGCGTAAAAATGTAATTATAGATGACAATTTTTTCTCGATTTTGTTCGTTTTTCTTTTTTATTCTTTTTCTCACTCTGTTCTTTCCTCATTACTCATTGGTCATGGCGATGGGTCAAAACTCTCACTCCTTTTCTCTCTCTTCCCCCCTCCCCCCCCCTCTCTCTGTCTCTGTCTCTCTCTCGCTCTCGCTCTCTCTCTCTCCCTCTCTTTCTTTGTGTGCGTATATTAATATAATATACCGAGATTGGCCCATTTCCACTCTAAGTGGGAAGGGTATACGGTACCCTTGCGATCGCGTAATTAAATCGTTCCTAATTCGCTAAGACTCTTCTCCTTTTTTCTTTTTTCCTTTTTATACACTATCTCGGTGTGCGCAATCGTCGCTCAAGACTGGTCCGGTATTAGCGATTTAATCGTCCCGCCGATCTTAGGACTGTGTTTCTCACACCGATCATAGAGGCACGAATTTAGTGCCAAATTCAGAGGACGGTATTTACGAAGGTACGAATGCACGTGTCTCACACAAACTCTTGCCCGTAAACGTGAAGAAGCCCAAATAATTCAAGTCTGATAGATATCCGGAGAAACGTCAAAGCGTTTCGTGGATATCTTTGCGAACATATGCAGATCGTTCTCCAAGAGGCTCGAGAAGTTTCGTCGGTAGCTTCTTAAACATCTAATTAGATCTCTGACTTACGCTTGAATGTCAATTTGTGAGCGTCAATGTAATTGCGACTACAACGAAGGTACGAGAAAAGAAATTGTGATCGGCCCAACCATAGTTCAATTAATCCTACGAAACTTCGAATCGCGATTGCACCTCCTTTCTCGATCTCGGGCGACTCTGCTAATAACATTTTTCTGGCATCATGGTTACAGAAACAGTCCTAGACTAGAAATACAGTTACAGATCGTAAAAAATGAATCGTCATAATTATTCTACAGGAACATATCGAAAATTACTTCCATTCAGGGTGCAATCCACTTGGCGCTTTGTAGATCTCGAAGCGCTTTTCTGTACACACGATATTAGTTACGTCATCAGTGCCAGTGGAACACTTCAGAGCACCTAGTAGATCCACCTCTAGTCGTTTTATCGAACTATTCTTCGACGTGAGATCGCGGCGTCGTCGTCGCGCGCATGATTTCAAATTGTTCGGACATGTTGCAGTTTATAGTCGATCGGTCGGTCGGTTGCGAATGTACGTATATATGTACGCGAATACGCGCGAGAACGCGGCGAAACAAGAAAAATCGGCGAAATATACTGCGCGAACGAAAGAAGAGGTCCTCTGAACTTGGAACGACAGTGGATTGCCTTCGCATACGTTCGTGCAGCGACGAATGGCAAGTTTCTCCATTCCTCTACTTTTCTCTCTCCCCTTCTCCCCCCCTCCTCACTCTCTCACTCTCTCTCTCTCTCTCGCTCTCTCTCTCCTCTTCCTTTACCGTTGTACACAAGATTCGACTATTTATCAACAATTATTTGGAATAGCGTTCTCTCTTAGGTAAGACGACGTCGACAATCGACGACGGGCTGGGACACAGATCGATCTAAGTTTCGCGGTTATGTAATTTCCGACTCTCGTTCCGCGTTAACACTAATCCGCTTCTCCTGAGATTCGGTCGGTGTGATATGCAATTTCATTTCGTGTAGAGTGAGTGACTCGAAAAGATCTTGCGCGTCGCGAAAGCAAGGCGTGTAAGTAAGTGAAGTCGGAGCGAGCATCAATCTCACGCTTCGAAGAAGAAAGTACCGGACGTCATGAATTTTCAGTTGCGAATGTCGTAAGATTTGGTGAACGGTCCGAAGAAGGAAAAAAGTTGCGAGTTAAATCGCTGAATCTTCGCTGAATAAAATATGAATTGATCGGGATGAAGCTCGCGCAGTGTTACGTTGGATTACGCCATTTTGTTACAATCTCCGCAACTGCAAATCAGACAAGATGGACACCGGCGCTCTTTCCCGCAAGGCGCGGGGTATCGCCGACCGCCGGTGGTACTGCTGACCGAAGAACGACCTTCAAAATACACACACACACACACACACACACACACACACACACACACACACACACACACACGATCTCGCCTCGTACAAACTGGGATAAAAACTCGGTAGAAATCTGTTTAACGAGACAAACAGGAGCTCCACAGCTCCTCCACACACCTAGCACAGCTCTCCCTCCTCCTCTCGACTAATCCTCCCTCGCTTTCTCTGTACAGAAATGAAGAGCAGATCCGAGTGACGGAGTCGAGCGAGAAAGAAGCACGAGGATCTCGAACGACGGAGTTCCCCGGATCTCTACAGCGCGCTATAACGAGGAACTTTGACACTGCGTGGATCAGTCCTACGATTTGTATTGCATCACGCGACGCCGATGCAGATCATCGACGAAGGTCAAGTGCCAATAATGATATTCATTCTCGGCTGCTTGGTCGCAGATAACACTTTTGAATACGACACTCTTCCTATCCCTGAGCCAAAATGTACTTGAGACCTGCCACTTTTCTATCCTGAAGGGAGTCGTGCGACAAAGATCGCTCTCGTATCGCTCGTGAGAATCTGATGCGAGTAACTCTGAGTAAATTCAGATTCTTCATCGCATGTAATTACGCAACAAACACCGCTGCGAACACTCTCTCGTGAGCTGTGGGATAAAAGTTTCGATCGTAAAGCAAAATCACGCGCAAGAGTAAGATATGGGCGCGAGATGTACATCTGGTAGAATTTAATTTAGAAATTTATTGCTTCATCGATTATGAAATAATTTACTTTCGGAAGGTTAAAATATATTCTATTGAGCTGTCTTTCTGTCGAGATGTGTCTGGAAGCGATCCCGGTTTCGCTTTTCTTTCGCGTTTAAAACAAGTGAATTTAATTCACTCTCTCGATTCTGAGTCACGGAACGTAACCAGCAAGCTCTTTCGTTCGTGGTAAGCGCATTGAAATTGCACAGCATTACGTTGCACAGCCGCGGGTCAAAAGCGGCGTCGACCGAATTAGACGGAAATAGATGATTCATTAACGAAATTGCAACGACCCCGTCAGATTGCTCGCGAGTGGACGAAGAATCGCGCGACAAAGACCGCGGTAATTAACGAGAAATAGCATTAAGTAATTAAGAATGACGCGCGCCGTCGCGTTAACGACCTTACGGAGTTGTTAGGCCCTTTGCAAGCAGCCGCGCGCGCGTCTCGCGCAGAAACGAGTAAGCGCGGCTTCAAAGGCCGCACTTAAACTTCGCTGTCTCGTTCGATCACGAACAAAGAAAATAATCTATTATCGTCATCGGCTCCCGAAATCTGTATTATGA